CTTTTGGGAGGTATGTGTGTGTGCATATCATATATGTAAAATGAAAATTATCAAGATTGCTAAAGCACCTCTCACATAATCAGGGCAGCAAACTGAGTTGTTCAGAATTCAGTATGAATATTTGACCTGTGCCACCAAGAAAGTCAACCAAGAGCTGCTTTACATACACACTAAATTTTAAATCATAAAACATGAAAGTCAAAAAGACTTAAAATTCATCTAGTAATATGACCTCCCTCTTATATTGTCCTCTCATTTTATAATTAATCAGTTCTTATTTTAAATTATGGTGGCAATAGGTTCTATGAGAAACCAACAAGAAATTTAGTGGGCTATTCCTTGTTATGAATAAAAGCATTGAGGAACCATCTGCATATAAGAAATAATGACCCCCTATCACTTGCCTCCAATCTCCTCCCTATATGACAGCAAGTGTTCTCTAAATGCTGATACTCTGACTTTAGAATTACTAATAGGAAGTGCCCGTAATTGTCATATGGCCCTGCTATCTATTTTATAACAAAAAAGGTCACTTTAGAGAAGCTATACCAACCAAATGACTGCCTTTTTTCAGTAGATTTCCTTCACCATTTAATTGGCTTATTAATAATAGCCCCATTCAGCAAATCATCTCATTAAGTTACCTAGGGGAACGTTTTGCAACTAGATTATCTTAAATTGTTCTCTAGGCATTTAAATTCTGTAAATTAGACATTCTACAAATGCATAATTGAGATTTTGATGCCTAGGGGAGTATTTGGTAACACCCACTTTAATTTTTTTCCTATTCCCTGGGAATTGCAATTGGGGAATTTAAATGAATCCTTGTCTAATGGGAAATGAAATTGATATGTATTGGGAAAATACTATAACTTCCTTTACTTTCTTTCTCTATCAGTCCAAATATTTAAAATGATGGAAAGAGGGGCTTTTAATTTATCACAATAAGAGCTTCAACAATTAAGAGTTAAACGAGTCTTAATTCAGAAGAAACTATCCTCATGTCTTGTGCTTTTCACGAAATCTTGCTTCAAATACTTAATTAAAAATAAAAGGTATTTTTGAAAGATTACTTGAAGAACATGAAGTCTTTCAAACCTTCTAATAAATAATTTCCCCCTCCCTGGGGTAACTCACATCTAAACTGTTGGCTTATTGGCTTATTCTTTTGCTCTTTCCCATGTCTCCACTCAAATCCAAAGTAAAATTCAACTCCTTGGGTTTCCATAAAAATATTCACTCACATTAAGCACTGCACAAGTGCATAGAATGTACTGAATAACCAGAGTGAAGCCAGGGCCGTGGGGGGATGCACCTCCTGTGCCTTGTGCAGCACTTGTCTTCATGTAACCCTTCAGTATCTTTGCTCCACACACTCTCCTTCTATATATGGTGCATAATAAATTAACTTGTGAAGATACGGATGCATCCGTGTGTATATTCAATACATAACCTGTAAAATACATGTTCCTTGTGTTTGCATGTGTGCATATATATGTACATCATCTAAAATTACTTTTGTGTTCACTCCTTTTTAACTTTTATTGTTTTATTCAACATACATGGAACATTTCTCAGTTCATTTGAAATAATTAGCAATATATGTATATCTATATCTATATATCTATTTCTCTATGTCCATATCTATTCATTTATATCTCTATCTATCTATCTAGTCTAGTGAGATATATCAATGAGTATGCATCTTTCCAAGGTTTAAAATCATTTCAGATCTAAAGTCCTATAAAAAAACTACACACTTCTAATTACCAAAGTTAAGACAAATGAAACAAAAATGACCCAATGGGGTTTGTTATTTCTGGGAAGATGAGATCATTCTCCCAAAGGAGATCCACCTGGCTACGGGATTATATGTTGCCTCTTATTCTTCAGAGAACTCATGTCTTTATTCTGTGCTGGTTTACAAACTCCAAGACACGGGCATTGAACCTGTCTTGTTCACATTCATATTTCCTAAAAGAGCTTCATTACCCGGTTAAGCCTGAATGAATAATTGGTCAGCGAGTAGGTGAAGACAAAGGATGATGGTGAAGCTGTTGCTATTTAGATCATCTGTCCTGAGGACTTCCAAAGCATGCCTGTTTCTTCTTTTAATTTTCTTAGTCATTTAGTGATTCTGGCAAGTTAAAACCTCTCTGGCCCAAACTATTTGGTTGTCCCATGGCTTACGAATGACAATTCGTAACATTAATAGAGGGAGGCAGGCACCTTCAGCAATTGCTTCTAGTTTTAAGTTTCAAAAAGCAAGGCAAGTGCCTCTTGCTTAAACGTGTTCACTAGGTCTGCCAACATGCTCAGTTTTAGAAGAAACTGCAGAACATGCCAAGTTGTTACTTTGTGATGAAAGTCCAAGTTACTAAAAAATATTTCAGTAGAAATTGAGAAGAAGAATAATAAGGTATCAAAACTATAACATATTCTTCAGTGTACAACTGAAGGACATTCCCTGTTAGTATTATCAATTTAAGGCAATTATAAACAACTTCACAATTCCATTTTAGAAAATAAATTATCATTACCATAAACTCAGAAAATGCTATTATTCTTTAAGTCAGATAAACATTGTAAAATTTTGGTTCAACTCCTAGCACTCTGGGAAGCTGAGATGGGTAGACTGTTGAGATCTGGAGTCCGAGGCAAGCCTGAGCAAAGTGAGACTGATCTCTAAAAAATAGATCCCAGCTTTGTGATGGATGCCTGTAATCCCAGCTACTTGGGAGGCTGAGGCAAGAGTACTGCTTGAGCTCAAGAGTTTGAAGTTGCTGTGAACTAGGACACCATGGCACTCTACTAAGGGCAACAAAATAAGACTCTGTCTTAAATAAACAAAATTTTGATTCAGCATAAAGTAATACTGGGCTTAGTTAGCTATGAGGGTAAAATATATCAGTTGGTCTATCTATTGCTGTAGGTAGGCTATAATTTTTTTATACATAAAAAAATGAGATTCATGGGCAACACTTGTGGCTCAAAAGGGTAGGGCGCAGGCCCCATATGCTGGAGGTGGTGGGTTCAAACCCAGCCCCGGCCAAAAAATAAAAAAATGAGATTTGATTGTGATCATTTTAAGAGACACAATTCCAGAGAGAATATTTCCTTCCATACAGTTATTATGGAAACGGCTATCTCTAAAAAAAATAGCTATTATGTTAGGTGGTTATGATCGCTAAGGCCCTGGAATATGCAAGTTCCTCAGCATTCTTCATTGCTCCCTGAAAAGCTGGCAGAAGCTGGTGATACCATCATTTTTGTTCTAGAGAGCAGGAAGGAAGACAGAAGGGTTCAGGAACGTGAGCTGTTTGAATAGTTAACACAAGGAAGAGCCAATGATCGCATTATCTCAAAACATTTAATTCATACAAATATTTCAACTTAACTTTTTTCTTAATTGTTGTGTTCATAGTGTGGCATTTATTTTTCTATTCATGAGTTACTTAAAATAGTGGACTCCAAATCCATCCAAGTTACAGCAAAAGACATGATTCTGTTCTTTCTTATAGCTGAGTAATACTCCATGGTGTATATGTATCGAGTCCTCAAACTTTTTAAACTGGGGGCCAGTTCACTGTCCCTCAGACCGTTGGAGGGCTGGACTGCAGGCCCCGGGACAAGTCGGCCGCTAAGTAGGACAGGCAGCTGTGGCAAAAACACCCGGCGATCAGATAAATATCCTTAGTGGGCCGCATGTGGCCCACTGGCCATAGTTTGAGGACACCTGGTATAAACCATATTTTCTTTAGCTGCTCATCAGCTGATGGACATTCAGGTTGATTCTGTATCTTTGAACTGTGATTGTGCCGTGATAAACATATACATATGAATATATTTTTTGTTGTTTTGTTTGTTTTAGAGACAAGAGTGTCACTTTGTCACCCTTGGTAGTATGCCATGGCATCACACAGCTCACAGCAACCTCCAACTCCTGGGCTTAGGCGATTCTCTTGCCTCAGCCCCCCAAATAGCTGGGACTACAGGAGCCTGCCACAACACCCGGCTATTTTTCATGGCAGTTTGGTGGAGGCAAGGTTTGAACCCAGCACCCTCAGTATATGAAGTTGGTGCCCCACTCACTGAGCCACAGGCACCACCCCACATACAAATACATTTTTGATATAGAAGTTTTTTTTTTCAAATAACATAAAATTCAAATGTCATATGGCCCAAACATTTTATTTTAGAAAAAGAATCAGATAATATTTAAATTTAGAATGTTTAAGGATGACATTCTTTCATTTTCCTATGCTAATGACCTATTTCATATGTATAATTTCCCTTGTGTATTGTTTTGTTTTGAATCATAGAACATAATAGTAAAAACTATGTTCAGTGGTAATATCAATCTATAAATAATTGCCAGGCTATGTTTCTAAGACACTTTATCCTCTCCTTCCAACAAACTATTAATGACAGTCTCTGGCAATTCCTTTAATTAACACATTTGAGTTTTTTCTATATGCAACAGAACCTCCATAGCTGAACACCTCCCTACAGTGACCATCTCCTCAAGTGCACCTAATTTTCTTCAGCCAGACAAACACCACATGTACTAAGCCCTGGTTCCTTCTGTTGACCATCCCCCTAGGTTGACCAGTTTGTTACAGTTGCTTCAGCATTCAACTTACAGAGCTTCTACTGTATAATATGTCATTTATCTCTTCACAATTTATTAAAAATCAAATGAAAAGTGTCTAAAAATAAACATATGAAATTATAAATTATGGAGATGTATTATGAACCACTGAATCGAGAATCAATTATAAAATCGTCACTCTTTGGCTAATATAAACAACATTAAATTTTATACAGACAAATGTTAGAAATAGACACTTTCCGACATAGCAGCTTTATCCTCATACATACAAAAAAAAATCTTTTTTAATGTCAATAAAACCACTTATTCCAATTGCAAGATGAATTAGTTTTAATCACAGCTTTAATATATGAATAATTTATGAAGTACATTTTTATCACCTTCTCAGAAAGATAAAGAAGATCAATGGCTGGAGAAAAAAGTGCAGGGCAATAAAGATCACATCATCTTGGAGCATCTACAGTGGACAATGGGATATGAAGTCCAGATTACAGCTGCCAACAGATTGGGATATTCTGAACCAACAGTTTATGAGTTCAGCATGCCACCAAAGCCCAACATTATTAAAGGTAGGCTAAAATATATTTTTCGAAATATGCTGAAAATAAATATATCATACTTTGGTAGACACTACAAATTAATTCTTAATAGCAAAAATAAACCAAAGCATAAATTCTAGGTTCAAGTCATGACTATTGTGACCCGTAAAACTCAGCGTTTCTCAGTGCTCTTGTCGTAGGTTATTGAATCACTTGCAAGTATGTGACACCATTGAAAGTTGAGATAGCAGCGAGAGAATGAACAGAGGGGAGAGATTAGAAAGTAAGAATGAATTATGATGATCACATGAAAAATTTCCATTCAAACCTGAAGAAAATTTGGCAAAAAAGGCCACTTCTCCCTCGATCATACGGGGGCTGAGCCTGTAAGTGCCTGACTAAGCTAGTTGATTTTGGAAACATAAAATTAGTCACAAAGCGAGGCTGAAATGACCACAAATGTATAAAAGCAATAACTAGAGTCTCAAGGGGGCTCATAATGTGACAGGATTTTCAGAGTTAGTTTTCACAACACACTGGTGTATTCTACTTTTGGAAGTTAACAGTGTTACATGCTAGTATGTTACTGATTTCATCAAAGTCTACAAACATGATATTAATTTTTTTCAGATACATACTATAGAGGTAAAGATGCAAAAATTTATCCTGGTTCATAATCATCTGTAACTCTGTTGATGAATTATCATATGGGTCATGTTTTAATATTTATTTTCTATTAGATATTACCATTAAAATTTAAGTTGCATGTAGCCATGTACATATGTAGTTTATTACATAACTATTAGAGAAATAAAAGAATAAATAATAAGGCCAAAATAATATTGGGTGGTGCCTGTGGCTCAGTGAGTAGGGCGCCGGCCCCATATAACAAGGGTTGCGGTTTCAAACCCGGCTCCGGCCAAACTGCAACAAAAAATAGTTGTAAAACTTCTCAGTTCAGTCCTATTATTTAAGCCTCTTGTAAATCTCATTTTTTATGATGTTGTTATAATGTATATCAGTTTTAAAAAAATGAAAACATTTTATACAATTAGTCTTTCAAATAAAAGTAATTACTGTTGATTTATAAGGTTTAAAAGTAATTGACATTGTGACTTCCCTTTGCTAATATTAATTAGTTAATGCTAGCAATTATAATTTGAAATTATAAGGTCAAAGCTTCTAGAAATAATACGAGTATCATATTATAATGGCATTTTTTTTAACTTGAAAAATACTTCTATATTCTTTATCTCATTTTACTCTTAAATATAAGTTGATAAGGAAGAGTTATCCTGATTTTATAAATATGATTTTAGAAGATTTAATGATCTGTTCAAATTCAGAAGTACTTTTAGTGATTTTAAATGTGATGCCCTTCTTTTAAATAAAAAATAATTGATATAATTATAAAGTATTTTTTGCGGTAATTATACTCCATGGAGATATGAGGAATACGATATAAATATAATTCTTAAACTGAATCAGTCTCCAAAGGAGGATTTCAAGTATAATCTTTCCTTCTAAATCTTTAATTTAGTGGATATGTATTTGGAGGAAATATTTTTATTGAAATAGAAATTAATATCTCTGTAGTAAAAGGAAAAAAAATTAATAACATTTTATAAATAAAACAAAAAAACTCAAAAAACAGACATTAAAGCAGGTTGAAATATATGATAACTCCGGAGTCTCTGCCCTGGAGAGACTGAATATTTTTAATATTCAGTTAAAAATATTGAAATGTCAGAATATATATAAGGACATAATGGCAGTCAAGACATGCTGTGATGCATTTACTCTAAGAACATTGTTTTGTTGTTCATGTTATCATTGTTTTAATTTGAGAAACTTGTGGACTGAGAAATTGTGGTTAAGACCTGGAAAGGAAATGGAAAAAATTTCAATTTATATTCCCAGATTTGCTCATATCACATAATTTGTCTTAGTATTTTTTCCTCATCTATAAAGTCACTTTCTCCTTGTCCTGCAATATTAGTATCTATTCATTTATTTATTCCAGGGTTATTGGGGTCTGTCTTTGTAACAGGTAGTTAAAAGAGAACAAAGAATTCATCTGTAAAGTATAGAACTGGTCCTTTTCCCCTAAAGCTTCATGTCTTCTAGTAGGGAAGACATTTCAAGAAAGTCAGAATAATCAATGAATAATACAGATAAGAGAGGTTTCCTTATAAAGGGATTTTCTGGTGGTAACTAGCAGGATTGAACCTCCTAGGGAAAGTATGTTACATGGAGGAAGCCTGGGAGATGAGATAAAGCTTAATAGTTCTATGACTGAGGGCACCATTAGAACGCAGACAATCCAAGCGCTTCTAAAGGCCATAATGTTAAAACAGATCCTGAAAGAAGAAATAATTTTAAGCAGAAAAATGTTACATTAATAGATAGGAATTACAAACATTTTATTCAAACTCATTTTAATAAAAGTAAGTGGTGGATGAATAGCAATGGAAAAAGAAAATAATGACTCAATTCTGGACACATTTTGGATGTAGATGAACTTTGCCTTCGCAATAGATAGTAGCCCCTCCATAATGAGGATTTTTAGGGTTTTCATTTAGACAACTTGAGCTCTGTTGATACCTTTTCTTAAGGTAAAGAATATTGTAGAAGAGCAAGATTTGGAGAATAAAGATCAACTACTATAAATTCAATTCGGTGCTAGTAAAATTTGAAATGTCAGATTATCAGTAAGATATGTGAATATATGTAGTTGGACAATTACATTTGTAAATTCATCCTAGAAAAAATGCTATGTACTTCATTGTTGACTATCACTATGGTCACCTTCAAAGCTCTCTCCCCTTGGGAAAGAATGTACCAACATCAGCACCTATTTCACCCTTCAAAACAATTTTGAAGCTCTTTTCTGGAACCAGTGACCAAAGCTGTTGTCATACAAGTTTAGACAATTAAATTTTTGAACTCATCCTAGGAAAAGTGCTTTGAAGGGTGGACTAGGCACTAACATCCATGAATCACTTTCCGAGGGGAGTACTTCAGAGGTGACCATAATGATACTCAGCAATGAGGTATTGTAGCACTTTTTGTAGGGGTCATGGCTGTCTAAGAAGATAGCCATGGCTTGGACAGATATGCCATAAGGCTGTCAGTCTTAACAGGTAAATGGTCTTTAGCTTAGGTGAGAATAAAATCCACTGACAATATCCAATTCTAAAAGTCTCTGGAAAGGGATTGGTGTCTGTGATACTCACCAGTGGTCTATGATACTCACCAGTGTTTTCTACCATGTAGGACTGCTGACACAGCATAGATGTTCAAAGAGTATTTCTTGAGTAGCTAAAGAGTAGAGGGTTAAGAACTGATTCCAAACAATTGTAATGTTATGTGAGAAGAAGAAATCACAGGTGGTCAGACCTCCCCTAGTGAGACTTAGATGTCATAGAACTACTGGAAAAACAACAGAATGTACTATCTTGAAAATCGTATTTCAAGAAGAAAAGGTGTAAAAACTCAAATGATGCTGAGAGATCAACAGAACTGAACCAAAACAGATGTGAAGTATTCTTATCAATAGGTTTGTTGAAATGGTTGGGAGAGAAGTTAGGTAGGAATCGGTTGAGGATTGTATATGAAATTAGGAAATATAAGTTTCATGTTTATTCAGTGCTTTAAAATTTATTCTATGAAGATGAACAGAGGGAAAATAACAGTGTCAGAAAGACTTTGATGATGTAAACACCAGATAAAAAAGAGAACCTTGAAATAGATAGAGCACTCATGGAAAAGTCCCACATACAAACATACAGACAGAGCTCTCTGAGAAGGTGGAAAGTGGTACTTAACTTTCCAGACTGGGCATCTGATACAAAGTCCACACAACTTAATGGAAGAGGTTTAAAACAAAATCTGTTTCATCTATAAGTATCTCATAAAATAATGTCTAATTTACTGTGACTGAATCCTCTTATTGTTAAGGACTCATGGAAAACCCACATCAAAGAAATGACCTTATAGATTAAGATTCATTCCATTTAGATGGAGGCTTCTTGAGGCACTTTAATGATTATGATGATAGGGAATTTGAGAGCCTTTAAACCCACAAAATCCTACAGAGTCAATATTATGTATTTGAAAAATATGAAAGAATTTTTCATTACAACTACTCTTGTATGATTTATTTTTCTATTTATAAAAAAAAATTTAAACTCATATTTATTATATCCTGACAGCTTTTAAGTCTTCTTGTTTAAGTTGGAGAGTTTAAAGGTTAATGTTTTAAAATTTATTTTTGTATATCATACATTATATACTGTCCAAATAAGTTACTGGATTTTTCAATGAATAAGAATATTCAGAAGTTATGGTGAATTTATCTTTATAAAATTATTACCAACTTATTTGTTAGACTAGAGGCTGATAAACTTGGATTTATTTATTGTTCCATAATTTTAATAACTAAAATAATACTAATTTACTCTATTAGATATAATCTAATATTTTTAAAAATTTTGGAAATAAATTTGTTTTGAAAATTATTTCCTATCATTTCTTTTGGCTTACAACATGTTTAATATTATTTTTACTTAATCAAAAAAAAGACCTTACTATCTTTCAGTAATTGTTTATCAAGTCTCTTATTGTTATTCTTGGTTAACATGTCTAATTTTAACATTGATTATCAATATTATTTAATGACAAACAATTCTTTTTTATTGTTTTTTTATTTTTTTATTAAATGATAGCTCTATACATTAATGCAAACAGGGGGTACAGTGTAGTGTTTTCACATACATTTTGAAACACTTTCATCAAGCTGGTTCACATAGATTTCATGTAATTTGCATAGTCATTGTGTCAAAACATTTACATTCTATTTCTAGAAAAGTTCACTTGTACCCTTGTTAGACAGAAATATAGATGATCTTTCCGGTTAATTCTAGCCCAAGAATATGGGGATGACAAACAATTCTAATCATGCAGCCTTACCATCTGATGGTGACATATAATTCATACATAAAAGATCTTTTAATTTGATAAGCTAGAAA